GTAGCATCAAATATATTTAGTTTAAAGTGGTAAAGTTCTTTCTTTAACATAGAGCTATGGTGAATTTTGGTGGTATACATGTTTACGAGAACAAACACCACTGGAGTTTTTGGGAACAGCATTTTCCCGAAATATTCAGGACTTCAGGTACCTGTACAACATACATATGGTGCTAGGACGCTCCCTGTGTAGTGTAAAGAATCGGGAACCGATGGTGATGCGAAAGTGTTGTGGAGAATCAGCTGTACCACAAAATGTCCCCTTCCGCCATATGTACCCAAGGTACGTTAATACAGAAATGTACCCTAAACAAAGCCTAAACGGCGATAGAGTCCATATTCCACAACACAAAACCGAAACAGTATGTTGTTTGCTAGTGGTCTTGTGTATCGCGAAATATTCGTTTCTGTGTATGGTCGTTTCTTACATAAGGCAATCAAATGCATCTAATACAACGTTAAGACAGTTCCGGTCAAGAAAACTCCACAATGCGGAATGGACTCGTAGGTAGGGCTGGGACGGGTCCATATTTTCTTCCCGGTTACCCCACCACCTACTACCTTACCCTACCCGGAAACCCGTCATGTTAATTCCTGACATCAACTATGTAAGAAGTGGCAATATATTCTTCAGCTCGGAGGCTACAATTTCGAGTTTTTTATTTTATTTTTTATATTTTTTGTTTTATTTCGAGTGTATTATATTCAAAACAGGTGACTGCACAATTATGTCTAAATCTTCAAAGACAATGCAACCTTTTAACCACGAAAGAAGCATATTACATAGTTTAATATATTAGTCACATGATCATAACGGGTCCTATTCAGACGGGTACCCGGGTCCAACTCATTACCCAACCGTCCCGGGTATCCGGGTTACCCGTCCCAGCCCTACTCATAGGGTATGTGTCTATATTCTGATTCTGAGTACAGAACGTTTCTGTATACAGGATGCGTTTCTGTATACATGGTACGTTTCTGTATACAGGATGCGTTTCTGTATACATGGTACGTTTCTGTATACAGGATGCGTTTCTGTATACATGGTACGTTTCTGTATACAGGATGCGTTTCTGTATACATGGTACGTTTCTGTATACAGAAACGTACCTGGGGTACATATCTGTAGCACCCGTGCCGACAATGACCCCTTCAGCCTCACAGGGGCTTCTTATCTATTAAATGGGTTTATTTGTTTCTGTCCAACGTATACATATTCGTGGAGTAAGCCTTAGTCTGTTAGCGCAGGAAATAACACAATTTGATGAATATCAGCTGTGAATTACACAATCCGTGGATTTTAGTTAATTTGCATGTTAAATCCGTGCATGTACTGAAAGAAGAGAAGAACTTCAGTTTTTGTTTACCCCAGAACAGCGGCCCAGGAAGCAGCTGTCTCCTTGACACCAGATGGCGCTGCCTCAGACTCCCCTATCTGTTATGTAACACCCACATCAGGCAGACTGCGATGGAAAGTTCACATGTATATACACGTGTGTCAGGCTGACCTGACTAGCCTTCACAGCATGTCCATACTCCTATTGCAAAACTGGCACAGTAGTTGCTAACGGCGGCGATGTTAGATTCATCTAGTCACAAGGAGATTGACGAAATCAGATGTCTGGTGCAGATCCTGAAACAGTGTGATCAGATTCAGCTGATGAGTTGTATGAGGTCGTCAAGTACCTACTTTATATCAACAAAGAATGTGAACCACAAATGTTGTTTACACACGATCAGATATTTTGGAATAACTGCATTATTTTCAAAGGAAATATAAAGAAAGGTAAAAGAACATCTAAAAAGCAGGATATATTTTACGAGATTCTCAAAGTAGTGTTGTCCTTGTGTAATGTCGTCCGGTAAACCACAGGCAAACAGGGTTGCGCAACAAAGGGAAAATGACCAGTCTTCGTATATGCGAGCGAAGCGCTCTTTGTTGCGCAACCCTGTTTGCGCTACAGTTTGCCTGTGGGTAAACTTGCGTGTCAAGTAATACTTAGGCTTGCTCCAAGGCTGTACTGAATGCAAAGTCCATGGATGTATAGAGTAATTCTATCATTTAAAGAGGCAGGTACAAGGACGCCAGTCAGTTAAAGGGACAATGCGTTTTTATATTTATGCTTTTAAAAAAAATATCATTTAAACTGTTAATGATTACCTAAGAGATAGTCCAAGTCTAATTAATACTCGGTACTCTCATATCTCGTCCGACATGGTGTATTGTATTCACTATCCCTGAAGTTTTGGTGTAATTTTCTCTCCTCCACCCTAAACCATCTTCACACACACGCACGGACGCACTTACCAACCCCCGGGACACACATGCACGGACGCACACACGAACAGACGTATCATGAAGATACAGGTTAGGATTGATCTTCAGCAGCCAATGTGCTTAGATATCATATCCTTTATGTTGTCACACGTGTTCTCCATGCATCACTCGAGCACCATATTCATCATGTTCCCACTGAAATAACTGTATATGTCGGACTCACTCACTCACTCATAACTCAAACGTTTGAAAGCTAAAGTACTTGGCTCAAATACAAATGGCACAGCATACTTGCATTAATCTGTAAATATTCCACAAAACAGTGGTCATGTTTTTCCGTGCAAACCCGTTCCCCAATAAAGCTGATAGTGTCAAATCCCTTGTTGACGTTCCCGCCGCACAGGTATAATTGATTAAGTAGTGGTTGGTACCTGTCATCTCACCATCTTTACACGTTCTTCAATTAAATATTTCCTCACGACCAAAACCATCATCGGTGTACATTAAATTTGACTTGTCCGTGAAGAGCGTCTTATGAGGGGCAGTGTGTATACCCCTTACGCTATCTGCCATTGATTCCAGCCCGTGGGTCGGGCGTACGGCCGATGCCTCCGAAGTATGCGGTCCACACACAAATAGACCATTTACTACAAACATTCCAGCGCTACAGCAGGCGTCAAAAGACACGCATGGTGTTGCGAGCACGCCAAGTTGTTTGCCTACATCATAAGGCTAGCCTCGTAGAGAGCAACATATACAGAGAAAAAGTTCAGTACTTAGTTGTTGGGACACGTTGTTGATACTTGTCTTGTTTTGTTTGAGACAGTGACATAAATAATATCGAACGTACACGATTAAAGGGTTGTTAGTTTAAAGTAATATCAATATAATTTTGCAATATCGTAAACGCAATAGTAATGAAACTAGTGAATCCAAATGCATTATGCATTTCTCCGAGGCCGAGATGATGATAAGGGTTGAGGTGAGCCGATTGTGTCTCAACCGTTTGCTAGAAGCCTACACCCAGTAGAATACTATACAAATAATTACAATTTAAACATATTTATTTCCAATGAAAGGAACTGGATTAGTAAACAAACATAAGCATATATAAATACCATTCCGGGATACAAAGGAAGAGTAAACATGTCATGATGAAGGTACAATGTAAATGATATATAAATGTTGCAAAAACGAGAAAAAAACGCCAAATAATTACCAGAAAATATTGTCAGTTTAAACGATATATTTTATACTTTTGTTTTAACCTTTTTGCGCCAAACAAGTACTTATGGCAACTGTTAATGCTTGTATGGCACTGGATTTTAGATGTTGTATCATAACACATTACATATTGTACACTGGGCATACATGGAGTGCCCAATATAAAATGAGGTGAGGTGAAATTGGGTTTTACGTCATGCTCGAGAATATTTCGCTCATATGACGACGTGCATGCGTGTGTATGTGTATGTGCGGCTGCTTGTACTAGCCCAGACTTAAGCTGGTTTTATAGCATGAATACCCCTCTCAGACACATTATACTGACTCCGAGCCGACCAGTCCTTGTTGTACCCATTTATGCCGAACGCCAGGCAGGGACCAACAAGTACCATATTTTAACGTCTTTTGGTATGACGCGGTCGGGGATCGAACCCGCGACCTTCCGCTCTCCGGGCGGACGCTCTAGCCACTACACCACGGAGGCGATCAATATAAAATGAAATATAACGTAACCAAAAATATATCTTTAAAGGAACCATTGTGGCTGAAAGAACTTCCTATCTCTTAATAAAGTGATGAGGGTTTTCAAGATAAAGTGGAGTTCTGCTATCGCAGCGTACCCATGTCTGTTATGTTCAAAGACTATTTTTTTCCAGTGTCAAATTTATTTGATCTTTTACATCAAATCAGAATAACCTTTTTCGACCTGTCTTCTAAATTTTATATAAAAAGTTTGTTTTCGGCTGATATGTTACAGAGAAACATTGAACGGAGTTCATTTCATACATAACAATCGTAAGCAGCAGCAGTAATGATGACGATAATTACAACGTCAACACGTCAGCAGCAGCAACAACGACGTGACAAACTCTACCAAATGTCTATAAAAATTAATGCTGGTATTGTTTTAGGAACATTGTATTATTGTAATCTTCTCATGCAAATGTAATATATCTTTGGGCTCCTAACATGCCCAGTATGTTTAGAGAAGGTGAAATGTGAGGTTGTCTTTTCACCAAACATATCAACTATGGCAGTATCTATACTTCAATTAATAGCACGGTACGCCAAATTTACCTGCTCAGTTTTGATTATTCTCTCGATTGGCAGTCATATATTTCTTAGAGAGATACGTTATATTGGGATTTCTTTGTAATGTATATTGACCCTGCTTACATCAGTATACAAATATGAACGACCCGTGAAGATCCGGGTTAGAATTGATCTTCAGTAATCCATGCTTGTCGTAAGGGGCGACTATCGGGATCGGTGGAAGGCTCGCTGACTTGGTTGACACATGTCATCGTATCCCAACTGCGTAGATCGATGCTCATGTTGTTGATTACTGGCTTGTTTACTCGATTATTTACAGACCGCCGCCATATAGCTGGAACATTGCTGAGTGCGGCGTTAAACAACAAACAAACAAATCAACACCAAATCTACCATTGCTGTGTATTACTACGCAAAGCTATAATGACGTGTTATCTATTCCATAGGTTCCTACTCTCTGTCTGTCAGTGACGTCACGAACAAGACGGCTACGTTGACATGGAACGACTTCAACCCCGACGGCTTGGAATACAAGCTGTTGATGACGACAGATTCCTACAAGGCCAATCTAACAGACTGGAGACAATACTGGGTGAGAATCGCACACGCACCTGTCAGGGATATAGCTTCTTTGTCTTATCACATGTTGTCGTACTGTTAATAATAATAATAATAATAATTGATTTATAGAGCGCCTTTTCCAAAAGATATTGCTCAATGGCGCTATAAAGAGAAAAGATTGTAGACAATGTCTATGGAAAAGAGAGTTTGAAGAGATGAATTTTGAGGGCAGTTTTGAAAGCGTCAGCAGATTCTATTTCTTTTAGGGCGAGTGGTAGAATGTTCCAGAGATAGGGTCTGCAGCAGAGAACGCTCTTGATCCCATGGCTGTTTTGACGTGAGGCTGTGTAAGCAGTAGGGAGTTTGACGAGCGGAGCAATCGGCTTGGAACATGGAGATGAATGAGGCTTTTAAGATATTGAGAAAACATGTTTTCATAGATGCAGCTGTGTGTAAGAAGAAGAAGTTTATATTGAATTCTGCTTGATACAGGAAGCCAGTGAAGAGTTTGGAGGATAGGTGTCACAGTTTGGTAGCGTGGTGCAACAACACGTTCTGTTCTGTTCATCGTTTAATTAACGCCATACTCAGCAATATCTATATGGCGGTGGACTGAAAATAATCGTCTGGACCAGACAATCATGTTATTGAGATCATGCGCAGCGGTCTGTTCACTGGGATACGATGACATGCATCAACCAAGTCAGCGAGCCTGACCACTCGATCCCGTTAGTCAGCTCTTACGACAACGTTTAACCATGGGTTGCTATAGACCAATTCTAACACTAGAATCTTCACTGTGACATGGTGAGGATGGGGTTGTGCAGTTGGTGGCCCTGATTGCCCCTATCTCGAAGGAGACTTGAGTAGCAGTGCAGAGTTGTTCCGATTATATACGTCAGGATCAGCTGATGGCGGGATCGAATCCCATCTTAGTTTACCTGCACAGATACCTGTAAAGAGTCTGCGACAAGAGCCATGCTTTTGGATTTCCTTTCAGATTAACGTGAGTGAGTGAGTTCGGTTCAACGCCGCTTTTCTCACATTAAACTTATACTTTATGATGTACATGAACTGCAAAAATGCCTAGTTAACTCGTATTTGATGTGTGTATATCGTGTTCACAGATTGGGGCGAGTCCACGGTACGAACTGACCACACTGGTACCCGGGACGCTGTACTTCATGCGTATTGGCTTGGGGATCGAGACGCTGACCAACATCACCGAGGTCATCGTGTTCCGGACAATACGTATGTATCCTGACGCTGGTTATAAGAAATAGCGCTAAGGTGATCGTAACTACCCATACTTCAACATAGACTTACGACAGTCGTAGCGCTACGATCGCTTTGAGAAACGGGCACCAAGGCATTAGCAGTAAATAGTAACTGAAGTCTATCATTACAACGCTGTGTTAGTTCAGCTATTTAATACAAAACGGACTCGATGTTCTGTCAATAATTCTCCTATGCAGACTTAACACATTGTATTCCTATGTGGGGAATCGAACCATAGTCTTCGGTGGACCGATGCTACCGCTGCCCGTTCGTTGGCTAACAAGCTGGGTACCATTCTGCATAGCGACCATAGCGCTGTGACGGACACTTATAAATCTGTGTCAAAGAATGAGTGTTTGGACACTTTGAAACGATTATTGCTTTGGAGAAATGGGTCCCTGATACAGTTAGAAGCATGATCTATATGTTTTAAATGGGATTGATGTAGCGATGCTTTTTCTCTGTCATTATCCTATTTGTAGTAGCTTTCCGTGAGCAATTGAATAGAAGTTACATTCATTTCTATTTTTTAACATAGTCTCATATTTGGTAGTGGTATAACGTCGCCGGCATAATGTTCGTTGTTCGGGTAATTAAACTCTGAGATGCCGGACATGTGTTTGAAAATTTGTCGCAATGAAGAGCGTTCTTGAAAACGCCTTTGAGATGCATGGGAGCAGGTTGAAGCATCCAGACATGAAGACGACCACACACACTCGTCAAAACGTCCACATGACATCAGTTTGTGACCATTTTGACTTTTTAGTCTGTTCGTTTTGACTTTAATCGTTTTTTATTAATAATACATGTGTTGATTATTCTTGTTTTATAAAGAATGATATTTTTGTAATTTTAACCTAATGAACAAATGTTTTCCCCATGTTGATGCCTCGCATCAGGTTGTCTATACAATCGCCTCCACTTCCAGCGGTGGACTTTTGTGTGAATAACGGCGTGCGGTATGAGGTTGGCCGGACGTTCAACCACGACTGTGAGGACAACTGCACATGCTTACCCAACGGAAGTTTTGACTGCACCCCCATCTGTGAGGAACCCACGCTGCCCGACCCCACACGGTGTCGCCTGGTCGAGGAGGAGGAGGTGGAGGGGGAAGAGTCGTGCTGCGCCGTCAGGGTGGTGTGCGCACCGGTGATGGGTGAGGATAACGGTATTTTACCCTCAGAAAGATGACGCTGTTACGTAGACTGACATTAAGTCCCAGAATATGTATATAATTAATTAATTATTGTCACGTAAGTTACAGAATATATATACAAGATATACAAGATATTTCAGAAACAGTGACAATATTCTATAAACTACATAAACGATATACATAATAAGTCAGAGTAACTCTACATATACTAAATTATGTGTATAATGACTAGGATTATGGAGATCTAGATTTGTTTGAAGTTGTATATTATAGCAGATTGTTTCTATGCCATCTGGTTTATCATTTGTAAACCGGAGTCTAAATTTGTCTTTGGTGGTAAGGCTTTGAAAGCAATTAATTTGAAAGGAACTTGAATTAAATAAGGAGTGTCTTACATCCGAATGTTTACTACAAGACATGAAATAGTGTTCTTCATCCACAAGGACTGAGCATTGATCACAGAGACGGTCCTCCAAAGGTGTAGGTGGTCTTGTTCTTCTACCACGTTCAACATTTAGACTGTGATTTCTCAGTCTTAGTTTTGTGAAGTGGATACGGTTTTTTCATCTTTTACAATTAATTAATGTCAGTCTAGGCATAAATATATCTATATATGTAATATCTGGCCCCAATGGATTTTAACATTAGCTATGTTACAGCAGCGGATCTGTCATATCAAAAACAGCGGGATGGGGCGCTGTAGTATTTGGACCATTTGCAAGTTAAAAGGGGGAGGGGGGATTTCCAACCCTAAACCCCCTAATAGAATCACAAACACCATATATAAACTAATATTTAATATTTTTAACTATCAAATCAAAGAGTGCGTGATCTCACTTGTTATTAAGAAAATATTATGTAAATTAATTTGGAATTTGTTTTATTGCTTTTTACAAATGAAAAAATAACTATTGTAAGTCACGCTTACAGTTCGTTTGAGACACAATGATACCGATGAATTCCAACCTAACACAAAAGCAAATATACATATATAAATATACCAACGCGGAGTGCAATAAAAACAACATACCATCTCTAGAAAAAAATTGCAGAATTTTTGTCACAAAAATAAAAAAGTTGTTTTAGAAACTGTCATCATTTATTTGTGCGTTTTCCCAGTTTGTGACAGGGGCGCAGTGGCAACTAAAAAGGAATAGCTCGAGAAGCGAGATGCACGTGGGTTAACGGGTTTTCAACAAAATTTTGAGCTGGCGAGATGACACCCTAACTGCACAGGCAGTGCGCTGTATGTACTTAGTAATTGCATACTTGGGTCTCCCCCTGTCATTTTCATCCCTCAAGAAATCATAGACTTTGTAAATCAGGCGCGTAGCAAGCCAGTTTTTTCGTGTAAGCCCGAGAGGTTACAAAGCTTTATATTTAGATAGTATTGAGGGCTTGCCCAACTTTCATGGTGATCTTTAGCAACAAATCACATGTAAGCCCCTGTAAATTATATACTTTACGTCGGGCGCAAATTTCATTTTCTCTCACTTTGTCAATCAGCATTAATCACATGTCTCTGACGTCACTAATGCACTTGCATCTCGCTTTCGCGCTACTCCTTTCGTTGCCACTGCGCCCTTGTAACAAACTGGGAAAACGCACAAATAAATGATAACAGTTTCTTAAACAACGTTTTTATTTTTGTGACAAAAATTCTGCAATTGTTTTCTAGAGATGGTCTGCTGTTTTTATTGCACTTTATTTGATTTGATTCTTTGTTAGATTGCAATTCATCGGTATCATTTTGTCTCAAACGGACTGATAGGTAATATGATTTGCCTGTGCTCAGTTATTCAAAAACTATCCACTATGTTGCCTTCAGCGGACTGTGTTCATAACGACACTGGGAGTACCTATCAACATGGAGACACATTCGAGGCCGGCTGTTTAGAATGCACGTGCGATAACGGTACAGTCCTGTGTGAGTACCCCGAGTCTTGTGAGAGGCCGGATGGAGCGTCGTGTCCCGACCCCCAGGAAGTTCCAGTCGAAGGGCAGTGCTGCCCCGAGTGGAGATGTGGTACGTTGCATGCAGTTCTGGGTTCGATTCCACATACGGGTCTAATATGTGTTATCATTGTTTATCAGAATATCCACCTAGACCTACAGGGGCGATGGGGTAGCCTAGTGGTTAAAGCTTTCGCTCGTCACGCCGAAGACCCGGGTTCGATTCACCACATGGGTACAATGTGTGAAGCCCATTTCTGGTGTCCTCCGTATTGGTATTGCTGGAATACTGCTAATAGTGGAGTCAAACCATACCTACTTACCTAGACCTACAAGTGAATGGGAGCCTAAATATTTATTACAAGGGTCCTTACAGAAAATATTCATGAAGTTCCTGTAAAATACTGTAAGATTTAATCATTAGACATGAACTCTATATTTCTTGTCAAGACTTTCGTACAATGAACATTTTTGTGAAGCGTTGCTTTATGACACTATGATTTTATGTCAGTTTCATCGTATTGTAGTCAATAGTGTAATGCACGGTCTCTGGTGTAGGTACCTGTGTCTTAGCCTTTAATTCTGAACTATAGAGTAACACATTGTGTTATAGTGTAACATAATGTACTATATATGAACTTTGTGTAATACATTGTGTTATAGTGTAACGTAATGTACTATATGTGTACTTTGTGTACCACATTGTGTTATAGTGCAACTTAATGTACTATATGTGTACTTTGTGTACCACATTCTGTTATAGTGTAACGTAATGTACTATATGTGTACTTTGTGTACCACATTGTGTTATAGTGCAACTTAATGTACTATATGTGTACTTTGTGTACCACATTGTGTTATAGTGCAACTTAATGTACTATATGTGTACTTTGTGTACCACATTGTGTTATAGTGCAACGTAATGTACTATATATGTACTTTGTGTACCACATTGTGTTATAGTGTAACGTAATGTACTATATATGTATTTTGTGTACCGCATTGTCTTATATTGTAACGTAATCTACTATATATGTACTTTGTGTAACACATTGTGTTATAGTGTAACGTAATGTACTATATATGTACTTTGTGTACCACATTGTGTTATAGTGTAACGTAATGTACTATATATGTATTTTGTGTACCGCATTGTGTTATAGTGCAACTTAATGTACTATATATGTACTTTGTGTAACACATTGTGTTATAGTGCAACGTAATGTACTATATATGTACTTTGTGTACCACATTGTGTTATAGTGTAACGTAATGTACTATATATGTATTTTGTGTACCGCATTGTCTTATATTGTAACGTAATCTGCTATATATGTACTTTGTGTCACATTGTGTTATAGTGTAACGTAATCTACTATATATGTACTTTGTGTACCACACTGTGTTATAGTGTAACGTAATGTACTATATATGTACTTTGTGTGTGTTTATTCACGGAATTCTCTCCATTATCATCCTTGCAATTTAACGCCTGGGGTAAGGGGTGTCTGAAAGAATTATACCCCCTCACAGCTATGCCACCACACCCTCCTTCCTTGTAATGTTCAGGTAACTACACCTGTGAGGACGGCGGCGAGGTGTACAGCAACGGCGCGATGTGGAGGAGGGAGAGCACGTGCCAGACCTGCAACTGTGAGGAGGGCCACGTTGCCTGCCACGACCTGTGTGAGGAACCCACCAGGCCGGAGAACTGCCCCAGACCTCATCTTACCAAACTCCCTGGCAGCTGCTGTGACGTCATTGAGTGCTTACCCCCAGGTAGGATAAGAATAAGTTCAAAGGTTAAGGACAGGAACCACTTGAAGATAATATGAACGCTGTAGAGAGACGTCAGTCGTTGATGAATGACAGTTCCAGGTTAAAGAATGTCTTAAATTCGCTGCATGATTGTGTTAATTTCGAGGTGATGCGTGGAGGAAAATTGTAACGCCGTGTTCGAGATTATTTAACTTCTTGGTCGGCGTGCACGAATGTTTGTGTAGCTGCTTGTACTGGTCCACAGTTTTCAAGGTTTTATAACTAACTGTAATACTAAACCACAGTTAAAGATGGACACCCCTCTTATACACATGACACTGGTTGCCGAGCAGACCGATCTCTGTTCTATTTCCTTAATGCCAAGCGCCAGGCACAGTAACAAAAAGTAATTTCTTTTAAGGTCTTTACGGGACGCGGGACGACAATAAATATCCTCTTTGGCTCACAGATTTAACATTCTAAAAAACAATAATACTGAACGTAAAGTATTTTATACGTTATATGTTTTAAATATATATTCAGTAATTCAAATTGCACGCTTTTCTCAATGATTTTGAGATTTACATTAGCACTCTTCGAGATTCTGAAAGAAGAGAACGAATAATAAATTAGATGGTTATCGGGATTTAGATGAGGACGGAATTCTGAATGAGTGAGTGTGTGAGGCGGATCCATCACCGTTGAACATGGCACTTTAATACGTGAAGAAAGGCCAATTGACACAGGTCCCTACGAATTCGGTGTTCGTGTATGGGCGATCAAGGATCATAATTGAGCTGCTCATCATCATTCTCATCAACTAAGGAGATGATATGATATACTACTGATTTTTTTTTTTAAATTTAAAGATTCAAGTTTTACAATCAATGATGCATGTCTCTAATATATATTTTATATAGTGATAAGTAAATTGTATTATTGGGAAGTTCCGCTATAGGGATGTTTTGCTGTTTCAGAGGGCGAATGTTACTACGAGCGAGAGGCGTATACCCAAGGTAGCTACCTCACCAATGCCAAGTGCGAGCTGTGTTTATGCACCGACAACAGCACCGTCCTCTGCACCCCCAAGCAGTGCCGTACCGTGGTTGTTCCACCCCCAAACATCTTCTGTCCACACCCACACATTCGAAAAGATGGCTGTTGTGATACGCTCTGGTGTGAGAACCCGGATCAAGGTAAGGTGATATTTGACTGGCTGGTTGGTTTGTTGTTTAACGCCGAAATCAGCAATATTCCGACTTCAGGGCGGCAGTCTGTAAATAATCGAGTCTGGACCAGACAATCCAGGGAGCAACATCATGAGCATCGATCTACACAATTGGGATACAATGACATGTGCCAACCAAGTCAGCGAACCTGACCACCCGATTCTGTTAGTCATCCTCTTGCGACAAGCATGGGTTACTGAAGACCAATTTTAACCCGGATCTTCATGGGTCGGTGATATTAGAACACACAGTTGAACCACAATATATAACCTTGAGAATGTATTACTGAGTGAATTCTGTCCCCAACATGAATACATGTCCATAGAAATACTGCTGTACGTAAAGTAAGGTCCTTTTTAACCTTAAAAACTAATCTATTGTGTAATATTAGGTTAATTAAGGTCGATATGTAACCTTCAAAAATTCATTTGTTGTATTTTTTTATTTAACTACGGTCGTCAATTAACCTTCTATCTAAATATCGAAAACTTTGCAAAATATTTCGTTGTAACCGAAAACTGTAACATGAATATCTATATAGGGAGGCTCCATGTAAAGGGCAGTGTGGGGTTGACCAGTGGTCGAAAGTCGGGTTTTTTTAGCCACTGCCAAGCTTGCCGGAGAGAACACAACACAGGGGCTTCACTCACTGTACCAATGGGGTGATTCGAACCAGGGCCATCCCTGTGACAAGTGAACGCTTTTACCATTAGACTAAGTCAGAATAGTAACCTACATATCCTTGTGTTATGGGTTTTCGGGATCTGAAGACTATCCGTTGTTTTCTCGATTATCGATTGTAAAACATGTCGCTAACTAACTTAACCCAACATCATATAGCTAATTAATTTGGCGACATGTTTTCAACAAAAATATTAATCAATTAATTTCTGTATTTCTGTTCTGGCCATGTTGTAGACCTCGTCAGTGTGATCAAGAATCTTTTTGGCACATCATACAGTCCTCATTCGGTGACCTTGAGCTTTATGGAAGACGAGGCCATTGAGGGAGCAGACGAAGTTGAAGGGGAGGGATACACACGAACCAAATACCAGCTCCAGTATTCCAGCAGCAACAACGCAACGAGCAACGACACCAGCACGTGGCAGAAGAGAACCTTTGACCCCCGGCGCGTGCACAGCGAGGATGAACCTGTGGCATCCCCAACACACCTGCTGCAGACGACGGGCGCCATTCGCGTTGGACAGCGTGTGTACGTGACGGTGTCGGGGATGGAGGCAAACACCACCTACTACCTCAAAGTCCTGGTCATTAATTCTGGTTTCCATGACGACAGCGTAGGAGTGACGTCACAGCCTCCCCAGTATGCAGGCGCTTTGGCTGTGCGGACGCTAGCAGAAGGTAACTTATCTCTGTTTGAAAAAAACCCAAACCAAACATACAAAAACAAAAAAACACACAGAAACAATAGGAAACAAAAACAAAAGCATTTATACCTTAATATGATTACGTATTACGAAAACACATGTAGGCCCTGCTATGTTCAATATACCATGCGCGTTTGGGTAGCCTAGTGGTTAAAGCTTTAGGTCACGTGGAACACACAAGTTCGATTACCCACGTGGGCAATTTTTGTGAAGTTTGTGTAAATAGCTAAAATATTGCTGGAATATTTGATAAGGGCTGCGTGATAAGTGATGAAGTACCACTTGCAGGCATTCTAACGTTTTTTATTCTCTACAGATGCATCTTCATCATGCCCCACTACATGCCAGAGTGAGGAGGTTCTCATGGTACCGTCCAAGTCCTGTCCCAAACCCGTGCTGACGCGGTCACGTGGCGACTGCTGCCCCACCTGGCGCTGCTACCCTGAAGGTAGATAACTCACATCTAAAAACTTACTGATGCGTTTGTGCGTGGGATCCGAAGATGCATTAGATTTTGACCCCTTATGCCAAACACATATTGTATAAATATCTTTCAGATGTGAGAGGGTGCCAAACCTATATGGCATACCAGATGCCGAACCATAGTAAGTGGCATACCGGATGCCGTTGTGCAGTACACTGGATGCCGTATCTGCTTGGGTCACTGATCTCAATATTTCAATGTTGCCCTAATCGCCTTGTTTCTTACAAATAAATCAATAATAGTTTATCATGATGCGGTGGACAGGAAATCTATATGAAAATCACAGTGTAATTTACTTGTACAGGCAGTGTAAAGTGATACGACTCATATCTTAAGTGGCGTCCAAGACAAAGTAAATGGTGCTCTGGCAGAGGTACATATAAGCTGCGTATCTGCGTAAATTACGCAAATATTTATGTGAAAACTCAATTCCTATTAAGTCTATTGCGTACAAGTACGCTTGAAGTTTTGTAAATATCCAATAAATTTGATCTTACATGCGTGCGAACAAAAATGTCAAATCTTAGCTGGCGTACTTATTTCCTGTCACCAAACCTACCAGAATTTGGAGTAAGCAGACTCACGTGCTACAGATGGAGGTTACTGAGGATAGATAAAATAACTGAGGTATATTGAGAGGTTCTATTTCAGTACATGAACTTGGCAACTTGCAGTCTTTTTTATCGTTTCTCATATCACAGATCAAATATAAATAACAAACACGTAAACCGCCGTTTAAACTTAATCATATAATTAATGGAACATGGCTAATACTCAACTGAGTTTAAGTGTTTTTGGCACAATTTATTTGGTTAATAAAAGGAAAATTAGGATACCCAGTTGAGATAAAGACAAGCGAGTACATAGCTCAATGACCCCAAAAGTTATCTGTAGCTCTGGATAAAGAGATTGGGGTGGGTGGCACCTCATGTAACCCTTCGGACAAGTTGCCCTAAAACACTAAAAGACCGCCTCCATGGTGTAGTGGTTAGAGCGTCCACCCGGAGAGCGGAAGGTCGCGGGTTCCATCCCCGACCGCGTCATACCAAAAGATGTTAAAATATGGTACTTGTTGGTCCCTGCCTGGCGCTCGGCATTAATGGGTACAACAAGGACTGGTCAGCTCGGAGTCAGTATAATGTGTCTGAGTGGGGTATTCATGCTTCACTGCGGCATGGTATCTCAGTGAGCTAGCACTATAAAACCAGCTTAACTCTGGGCTAGTACAAGCAGCCGCACATACACATACACACGCATGCACGTCGTCATATGAGCGAAATATTCTCAAGCACGATGTTAAACCCAATTTCACCTCACCTCACCTAAAACACTAAAAGTCTGTATGTAACTTGGTAATGGTGGCGTGGTGACCAAAAATTACTTCACCGTAATTCAAACCATCGTTGGAATTGTAATGAAAGATGTGCATAGGCATTCTATGTCATTACTTTCGTTTGAACACCTTACAAAAAGGACTAAATATAAAAACACGGGCTCAGAAACTAGCGGGGACATTTTATCTTTACAGAGGGCGGATGTCATTACAAGAACCTGATCCTGAGCAATGGCGAGCAGATCAGGGAGAACTGTGAACGGAAGTGCCTTTGTGAGGAAGGGAACGTAACGTGCACCCCGCTTTGTGAAGAGACCGGAAGTACTCCCCGACCCGGATGTAGACTTGAGCGCCTGGCCGACCATTGTTGTCAAGTATGGATGTGCTCACCGAGTAAGTATTCCTACTTGCACTAACAAAATCGGTAAATAGGTAGCCCAGCGGTTAGTGTCCGCTGGTAACAGACTACCTTGGTTTGATTCCGGTGATGGTTGTATGTCTATGCTTGCTGTCCCCGGCATAATAATGCTTAAAAGTCCAGTCAGTGTTTGTTAGGTTAGTCAGGGAAACTGACTTTTAGCGCAGATGTCTCGTAAGAGGATTCGGTTCGAATCTTCAAAAGCATACCACCGATATGCGTTGTTGGAGAAATTAATATTGACACACTCTTCTGAACATATCTCCGCCGTAATATGAATATATGTATGTGTGCGTGTGCGTGTGCGAGTGCGTGCGAATGTATGGTTGATTTTTATCCAAAATTAAATTTTTGAATCTCCGTGGAATGATTTCACATTGATAATTGTTCATCCGAGTCATCCACAAGGATATCCTTGATGATACTGATGATGCTGTCACCTCTCTGTGTATTGCAATATTAATTATAACAGTGCTAGAGTCTAAGTCCGAATGTTTCAGGAACTGAGGTCGTGGAGACAATGTCCGTGACCATTACTGTGGACTATCGTGGTCACTGTGATGGTCAACCTGACACCTTCCAGTCACAGTTCAAACAGGCAGTGCTCAAACTCATCCACTCTCAGCCGGTCTGTGATTCCGGGGAAGGAGTGCCGAAGTCTGAATGCGAGGATGTGAAGGTCAGCCTGACCTGTCCAGCGTCAAATACTGTCGACAGAAGGCGCCGGGATGTGGACAACATCAGGGTGGACATCCTCATCACATTAAATACAAGGTAAATATCAACAGAATTATTGTAGTGAGTTTGGTTTAACACCGTTATAACGCGGCATATCAGCGTAATGTAGGGGAAACCCAAGGTCAAGGTGAAACCAACGAACACCGTATGCTGAAATAAACCTCGATAACATTATCTGGGCAAATCTGGATTATCATCATACGTTTCTCATGTGCCCAATGGGACGCAACTGTGGGTGGCAAATTGCTCCGGGAAAGCCACCTTGGCCAGTCATGCCCCTTGTATTACTGTACCAGTGCTAAATCACCATGACAACTGTACCTGTTGATCTACACGATCACTGCAGTTGAGAACTAAACACAGAGGGGCTAGCATGGGTTTAGTTGTTATTTAAAGTTTCATTATTGCTCCTTGCCTGTGGGGAAAAACAACAATCTATCATTACCCGTAGCAGTAACTAACTATTCTTTACATTCTAAGCTTTCATCAATGTGTTTTATCATGTGCTTTTGTGACATGATTCCTTAATGGTTTCTTCCTATTTCGTTAATAAACTCTCAACGTATATAACAAGTTTGTTATGCCGTCGGAAGATTTCAGTGTCAAAAACGTCATGGCACTTAAGAATTAAGATTATTTATAATCAGTCAAATAATTTATAAATTGAATACCTTAGTAATTATAACAGTGAGTTCACTGATGTATACGAAGCCCATATTTAAAGAGATGATAGTGTCTGATCGATGCTACCAGTCTGTTACTGACCTCAACACGATGTACAGTTCCAGTTCTGTGGAGAACACAAGACAGGACTTGTTACGGCTGACAGCGTCTTTCGTTGGCGTCTTCAATTCCACCGACTCCACTGTGACAGTTGCCGAGACGGTCTTCACGACAGGGGGCGCCGTGACAGTGACGCCACCTACCGGCAACTGTGGCCTTGGCTTCATTTTTGAAGATGATGTCTGTGGTAGGTTTTCAACAGGTCGTTGTCGAAAAGTGATTTATTTATTACTTTGAGAAATAATTCATATGGGTTGTTATTCCGCAAAATATTGTTTTTCCTTTACTCAGTGGGCAATAACAGTTGAGCTTGCATTGCGGCAGCACGTGAATAAGAGACTTGAGTATATACAAAGCAAGCGTGTAGTAATTAACGCATTTGCACCAGGGGATCATGGATATATTTAAGGATATTCTTCTTCACTTTGAAAAATCCCCCTCTCCTCCTCCAAATAGTGATGACCCCTAACCTCTTTTGTTCCTTAAAATCATCTGTATATACAACCCCCGTGGGGGATGGGTATCGGTTGGCCACAATGACTGCCATGCATATGTTCCATGCGGTCAAAATGGGATGACTTGTTTATGGGACAACTGTTTATCGACTGTGAACTCAGCATCTCTTGCAGAGTTACCTCCCATGGTATACACGCCATACTTACTGGCATCTTTTCGAAATATGTCCCCCAAACGTTTCGCCTTAAAGCAGCAATATAAACAAAATTGACTCACTTATTCAGTTTATTATTCATGAACAAGAAGCTGAATATTGAAAAGCATGGCCAGCTTTAATAACTGGATGGGTGTACATCTCAATAACATAAAACTCTTACACTAAATCATACAGTTGTCAGTCTGCACTGAATGATCTCTTCTATTACTGCTTGTTAAAGGGCAGATTAAGTTAAGTAATGGTAATATTGGACAGATTATGATTTGAAGTAGCAGAACCTAAAAGTATCAGTTCCTTGTTTCAGTGGAAGGGGTAACATCGTCAACACCTCCTACCACTCTGGATGTCCCTCTCAACGTATCGGCGTCGTCCAACTCGGCAGTCTTGGCGTGGAAGAGCCTAAGGACGCCCAGGACGCCGTATGTGACTGGACTGCAGATAGAATACAGGGAAGAGGAGGTAGAGGATATGATACTCTGGAACCAGACTGACCCTCTGGACCCAAGCGTCACCAGCCACGAGCTGACCAGGCTACAAGCGGCCCGGGGCTACAGGGCCAGACTGGTCATCTTAACCAATATTGTGGACAACAATCGTGTACGACTGACTCCGATCAGATTTGAAACAAAGCCGTTTAAGAGTACGTAAACACCCACACTTCCAACATTAAGTATTTTATATTCTTGTTCTCTTGGTTTCACAGTTGATATTGAACTGAGTGGTACTCTAGAACCATGGGGGCGGTGGGGTAGCCTTGCGGTTAAGGCGTTCGGTCGTCACGCCGAAGACCCGGGTTCGATTCCCACATGAGTACAATGTGTGAAGCCCATTTCTGGTGTCCCCGCTGTGATGTTGCTGGAATATTGCTAAACGCGGCGTAAAACTAAACTCACTCACTCTTGAACCATGTTATATGAAAGTCTGAAGTTGGGTCCCGATCCAAAAAACGTTCGTAGCGCAACGACATTCGTAAACCTATGGTAAATTGTAGAGTTACGACACGTAATGTTACGAATGATTGTTGATCGGAACCCAGGACTTCACTGCAAGGAAATGTAAAGCGACTTTGTAATTAGTTCTGGGTTATCGTATCTGTGTAAGCATCTCTTAACTTAGCGAAATATATTACATTTATTTAATAACATTGTAACATTTAATACAGGCATCACTGTGAGAATTAACCTCCAATTGCAAGAAGTTGGCGTTGGTGTCACTACCGTCGTCATCAGATGGGTGAAGTTGGCGGATTCCATTTTGAAGAACCTCGTTGCCATGGAGGTGCGGTACATGCGCAGCGGTGCAGCTGCACTGGCCAACCCAGGTTCGGGGCCAGGAGTACAGGTGGTGCGTCTTAACCCCTCAAAGACTTCCGTCACTATTTCGGAGTTGTCGCAGTCGACGGCCTACATGGCGCAGATCATTCTCTTCTTCAGCAACAACACTCTGGCGGAAACGGCGTCCATACACTTCGTCACTATGGCCGCAGGTAGTCTGTTGTTTGCCCTGGAAATTATTTCAAATGTAAATTATTGCCACCTTTAACCACCGGTTTACTTTGCTCAAAAACCTGTCAAGATCCGGTAGGAATTGGTCTTCAGCAACCCTTGTTTGTCATGAGAAGTGGCAAACGGGATCGGGTGGTTAGGCTCGCTGACTTGGTTGACACGTTTCATCGTATCCCAATTGCGTAGGTCAATGCTCATGCTGTTGATCACTGGATTATTCACAGACTGCCGCTCCATAGCTGGAATATTTCTGAGAGCGGCGTTAAACTACAAACAATCAAACTTTACTAAAAAGACATGACATGCATAGATAGAGATCGCTCCCCAAGAATTTCATCATTAGCATTGTGGTTTATTCTGTTTTAGTTAAGTCGGAGAACTTGCTCGTGCCTTTGGTGGTATCTGCAGTGGTTGTCGTCTGTGCTGTCGCCATCGTGATGATCACGTGTTGCCTCTGGAGACGGAACAGAAAACGAGAGGCGCGGGAAACGGCATTTGAGAACAAAACGTTTGGCGTAGGTTGTCTTTGATTTCCTAAAATTCCTCTTGACAGGATTGACTAGTAATTGTTTAGGAATCCACCGAATAACCATTACAACACTTGATATTGATCGCCTATAATGGTTGAACGAGTGTGTGTGAAAACACAATTAAGCATGTGCATATTTTGCTATTCTAAACGCTCATTGGTCAACTGCTCATGATGCCACATAGAATGTCACAGTGCTTCTTTGTTGAAAAGAATACGAATGACGTCATCCATTATTTATGTCATCACAAACTGGATAATTTCAGTTATATATTCCTCTAAATATATTTTAAAAGGTGTCTACTTGATTGCCTCAATTTCTATTGATGTTCCCTAGCAATCCTCTCCAAGCGTTCACAATGTTAAGAATGGTTCTGAAACACTGTGCGTGTGCTCTCTTCACTAATCTTCATAAACCACGGATTACTGACTCCGTGTCCCAATCACGTAGACAGATGCTTAGGATGTCAGTTACTGTCTCGACTGTTACTCGCCGCGAATGGCTGCAACACTGCTCATGCGGCGTTAAGCAACACTCGCTCACTCACTCACTCACTCACTCACTCACTCACTCTCTCTCTCTCTCTCTCTCCTCACTCACTCACTCACTCACTCACTCTCTCTCTCTCTCTCACTCACTCACTCACTCACTCCACTCTACTGTTACAGATCGAGTTAGTAAGTGTTGCCTTAAGCCGCATTAGCAGTATTGCAGTTATTCGCGGCTCATTTTGTCGGGATTTTGCTGAGTACGTCATTAAACAACAAACAAGCATACATTTGTGTTTCTTCTATTTCCAGCTTCACATTGAGACAGATGGACGAACGCTAAGTGCAAGACCTTAATCGTTGTGTCGTGTTTCTTCATCCTATGTGATGTCCTCAGGAACATGGACCATGTACAGTTCCACGGATCACTATTGCAGTGGAATTAAGAGTCTTTTTGGAGAGTAAACCTAATCAAACTACCGTCCACAAACTGTATCTAAATCCGGAATTGTTCCAGGTTGAGAGGGTGTTCATTGACAAGTGTAGCTAGGACAATGTGGTAAGATGTGGCAGTGTCCTGTGATCTACTGGCAACAGTTGTGTTCCTTCAAATGAAGACTGACGTGACAGCGATAAGACAAAGTGTTTCTACTATTGCTCGTGAGTTTTGTGTGATTACTATACCTCAAGTGCCATCGAATACCCAGCCCTACTGACTCCCACACAAGCCACTCGAGGGATAGTATTGAACGGGGCTACTGTTTTACCGAAGTGGGAGGGATCGTTATAGAGCTTGGATGTAGACCTGTGACGAGATACGGTGTTACCACAGAACCATGTTATGACTTTCAGATTCTACTGGAAAACGACATCTGACTTTATATCAGAGTTTGAGACTCTAACACCTGTGATTTTTCACCCCAATATAACGCCAGGCTATGCTTACTCCCCAAGTATTCATCATATTGAATTAGTTATAAACATTTATTTTTAAATATGTCTTGTTTTTCCTCACAATTCAGGGATTAAGAAAAAGATATTATTATTTGTTAGATCAAATACTAATATACTTTCACGTAGACAGGTTGTTATCTGGGATAAGAGTTCACAGATGACAGATTCCACTCTCACCAACGTCAAGGCAGTTCCAGAGCAGCCAAGAAGCTATATGTGTTAGCGATCACAGAAGTGGTACCCGCCGATGACCGGAAGTGGTACCCCATTACCTCCCTTATCGAATCCCCACTGGGATCTGATGAATTGAGAATCTGCAGCTCGATCAACGTTGATTTAGCGACACTTTTCACAATATTTCAACATTGAAATGCGTGTAGCAAAGCAAAGTAGACTTGTGTACGGCTCTGTATGTTTGTGGGAGATTTCAAGGTGTAAGTCATCGATGAACTTAAAATCCTGTTTAGAAACGGAACTGTTTGGCACTACCGGTTTACAAGATTGGTTTTCAGTCGGATACGGATCATACAGAATGACTTGCCAAGAAGAGTGGGCGGGAAACGTCTCCAATCTCCCTTGGGTTCCAAAAATGCAATGCGTGCATGTACCACGTCCACGGCGCTCAACGCACATGATTTCATATGATGCTGTCGAAAGACAAATAGTCATTTCTTGTTCGTCGTTCAAAATGCATAAGAAAATTTTTGATACGCTCGGAACAAATTCAGTATTTACGTGTTGTCAGAATCTGTGTTTAATGGGCTCAATTCATGTTCCATATTAAGCTCAAGAAAAATAATCCTCACACAGTTTTGTTTTAATGAATAAAGAGCAATCAGTTCTTAGAAATAATAATATCACCCCAGCTGACGGCATGAGCTGATAACTTTGGTCGGAATGGCAATATGGTTGTTAATTGATTACTTATTAATAAGCATCAGACAGAAAGTTACCTTCCACACGGAGTTCAAAAGTGTCGCTCACAGACACTTAAACAAACGTGTCCGAAAACCCACAAGCAAATCTCAATAAGCAAGTCTAAATTGGTTCAGTCTCAGGTCTGAAAATGAAGAGATTCTCTGGAATCCTTTGTGTATTACAATAAAAGACAAGTGTACAAAGAAATCTTGATATGTTTATTTTAGAAAGTGTTAGTTAGTGTGGGTTGACACCGGTGTGTTCATGTCAGAGACTTGTGTCACTGTGGTTCAGTGTTATGTAATGCATGTTATTAGAAATGTTCTATATGTTTGCTGTATTTGTTTGAATGACTTCATTACGTGTCTGAATGTGCCATAAATCTTTACAATTTGCATAATAAACTTTATTCTTTACCGTTGGAATTGTTGTTAATTGATGAGCATGTGTGTGCGTAAGTCTGCCATACATACCCTGAAACAAATATATCCTAGAAAGCTCATGCAAGTCTAGAATACGTGGCAAGTCTAGATAACCGCAGTTTCAGAAAATGAAGAAAGTCTCTGTTCTTTTCGTTTTGACCATGAAGATCCGGGCTAGAATTGGTCTTCAGTAACCCATGCTTGTCGTAAGAGGCAACTAACGGGATCGGGCGGCCACGTTCGCTGACATGTCATCGCGTCCCAATTACGTAGATATATGCTCATGTTGTTGATCACTGGATTGCATGTTCCAGACTCAGTTATTTACAGACCGCCGGCGTTTAACAACCAACCAACCTTTTCCCTATATTTTATGATTATTATTTATTAACCGTTTTTTCTGTAAAATATGTTCATCTCAGAGACTAAATGTTAATCTATGCGGGCTTAAGTGACATGATTCGACAGATCCGGTGATATGTTTGATGGATACTTATTTCCACCATTAAAAACTGCACTCTTGTGCTGATATATTCCCTATACCGCATCTGTACACTTGCGACTGCTGCCTGTGTCCTCCATCTGTACAATTAGCGGGAGTACCATTCGTCACACCCTTCACTACCGCTAACCACAGATCCGAGGTCAGAGGGTATCTCTTATATCGTATGACGTCAGAACCACATTTCGTCCAAACAGTCATAACGTCGATTACCACATTTGAACAGTGACAGTCGGAATGTGTTTTCTGATCATGTAACCTCGAAGTCTCAAGATGTTATTCCGTATTCCGAACAACAGTTACGGATTGTATGACTGCAACCGTCATAGTCTTCGTCTATCGAATAAGAGTTCAAAAGGGAGATAATTGATTAATTTCATAGCCCTTGTACAGCTATACAGGTCATCTGTTTGACATTCCAGGATATTCATTTGTGTAGTTTTCAATTTTTTAAATATTTTTTTTCAAAGGCACAGACTGGGATGGTTTTCGCCGGTGTCCTAAAGCTTTTGACTGACTAATGAACATTAGTCACCACTCGCCTCTTTCCGTAACCTCCAAGAATGTATTCGGTTTGTCCCGGAGTAACACGAGTTGGTCACGAATGAGTACATTCGTAACTACTCGCCTCTTTCCGTGACCTACAAGAAGACTCGTACCTGTATAGTACGCCATTATTGCCAAGAATCGCCAAGAAAAATGTGAAAAGAGGTCAAATAGTTTTATTGCTATTACTGATTTTCATTATTATTTCCGTGATTATAAAATTATCCTTATTACTGATATTTGTTAACCACATAAGAAATTTACTTAAAGTGACTTTCGTGTTGTATTTTAAATTGATTGACGTTTTCTTCTAGTAGCCATGTTTGGAAATTATCTTTGGGAGTTATCTCTCTTGGAAATAGTCCTAGACTATTTTCATCTTCATGCCTGTTTGCGCTTACACAAGGCCCAGTCGTGGACATGGTCACGAGAGGGGTACGAGTCGCCATCCGGCTTGCCGGATTGACATGAGTAGTTACGAATGGAAGGAGCAATGAAATGCCTATCAAGAAGTAGGCAGTTACCGTCAATCAATCAGAAAGCAGCTTTCTCGAGCCTTTAGGGAACTGGCGACTTTCATGTTTTATCATTATTGACAATTTGCAGTACAACAGGTATTGGTTATCTTTTCTACAATCATATCGTGATCACAATCAGTTCACACCTCTTTCTCGTAGATAGAAAGGGTGGAACTGCTGCCATTCGTATTTTGTCCTTGGTACTGGGCTGCCTTGTCAGCTGCGATCTCCACTCAGGGGATGGTTATGTATGTGCCTGCGTGTTGTGATGACGTCATTGTTGGTGTTGAGGGCAGCTAGACATGAAGAAACACGGACTCGCCAGTGGGTACTGATATCACTCTCTCTTTCATATGGAAGTGTCTTCGTGCCTAAGTAAAAAAATATCATCTACGTAGATAATTAGACTTATCGTAGATGTGTTCATCTTTCACTACGTAGATGGTGCACAAAATTTGGCTTCTCTAGCGATCGTAATGTTACGATCGTGTACAGTACAACTGCCTTGTGGAACGAGGCCCTGGTATGCACAGTTTGGGCCACCACGATACGTGTTGGTTGCAGACTGTAGTTTCCGCCACAGGCCCTCGTGTCTTTGCGAAGATTAAAGATTTAAAAAAATATTTTTTTGAGATGACCCCCGACTCAAAATGCTACACAGTACAATACATTATGACAAGGCCGGACACTTCGGTGTACCCCACCCGCCTGCTTTGCCGATCGCTACGCTACCATCGCATGCAATCAATTAAAACTTAATGTAAACATAATCATGGATGATTGGCCTATCGATCACCACTGATGACACCTTCCAATTCTTTATTGCTATTTCTGCAAGTCGATTGAAACCCGATTTTGATTCTCAACTACTGTAAACGATCTTGACACAAATGGATGGCGATATGTCCGCACAAAACGGGTGTGTGGTCGAAGCAAGCCCTCTGATTGGTCAACGCTTGCAAAATCTGCAATTCTTTATATATTCGCTTGATTTTTTTCTTTCATCGACTGCTTAATGTAAGAATATATTTCGAGCAATGGCTTCTCAAAACAAAGCATCAGTTGTAAATATCTCCTGAACAAGGATCAATCAATCAGAGGACTTGCTTTGACCACAACCCCGTTTTGTGCGGACAATTGTGTGGCGGTAGCGACCACTAAATAATCGGATTGTTTCATCCCCAAAAGACTATTGGTGTTGGATGACGTCCCCCACTGACAAACGTCTTGGAACGGAGCCAAGGTCTGTACGGCGATTTATGGTTTCCCGAGGAGAGAGAACTTAGTAGAGTCCTTTATCACAAACAATTAGTTCAGTACATATATAAGGCAATCGTTTCAACATGGATCACAAATAATCACACGTAACCATATGGACGTAACAGACAAGCAGGTCAGCTTATAATGAAGTCAATCAGTTCGTCATATATCTCAGTCAATCAGTTCGGCACAGTAATTATCAAATATGAGGTTGGAAATCTGAGAGCACATCCCTGTGAGGAAATGGGTGTCTACTTTTGATAGTGGCGATATTATATTTTGATACAAAAAATATTTTGTTACACTTTGTTTATGATTTGATTAACCCAAATACAGGTGAATTCTATACACATGATGAACTGCAGGGGTTTTTTAACATCAAGATAAATATCCTTAGATATCAAAGCATAAAATCAACCATT